GTCGGGGTTCACACGAAAGATGGGAGTCGATGCCTATGAAATTGGGTTCAGAGTTTCTGGTTGAAGTATGGGGGCTTAAGTCGGGATGTTCCCCCTATGCTAACAGTCTTAACAGGGGTTCTAGTACCCCCTATTCAACTCCCTATTAAGGACTGTTAGTATATGGGGGATCATCCCAAGGTTTAAGCCTAGTGCCTTCTCAGCCAAATATTCAACTGGGCCTTTCGTCGAAACCCTAAACCCTAAACCCTAAACCCTTAACCCTTAACCCTTAACCCTTAACCCTAAACCCTAAACCCTAAACCCTAAACCCAAAGCCGTGGCCCTCCTACTGCCAGGAGGGCCTGGACATTAACATGCAATGCAGAATCGAGCGCTTCTCCCTTTCGGGGGCGCTGGCGACTCGCAGCTTTAACATCTTTAGGGTTTATAGGGTTTAGGGTTTAGGGTTTCGGGTTTAGGGTTTAAGGTTCCGGGTTTAGGGTTTAGGGTTTAGGGTTTAGGGATTAGGGTGGTCTCGTACGCAAGCATGGCGGTTTAGAGGTTCAGCTCTTGATGTTTTCTTGTGGCGTCGGGGCGGTGTAACGCGGTCCCCAGTGCGAGCTGCTCGGCAACAAGGACTCCAGGTGGCCCCACCATGAATTGAGATGCTCTCGATTATGGCTAGGTGACCCCGAAACGCCTTGTACCCCCAATGCCATATGCCCTTAGAAGGCCCAAAAAACATTGAAGGTCCCAAGTGGCCTACAGTGGAGCCCCTCGAAACCGTAAACCCAAATAACCCCCAAGCCTCCAGAAGGTTTCAGGGCCCCTGTTCTCAAAAATCCTAAACCCTAAACCCACTAAACCAGCGCCGAGATCGCCCTCGGAATGATCAGCAACCGCTCCCTTCGCCAGCTGTTCTCCTTGGTGGAGCCTCTTTTTGCGGCTTAGGGTCACGGCTTCGGGTTTGACTACATCACGAACTGCTTCAGAACCCCTAAAAAGCTAAACATGGTCTTCCTTATAAGGGCAATTTGGCAATTTAGGTTTCTTTTGGGGGGGAGAGGGGGGTTCTGAAGCAAATGGTAGTTGAAGAGTGTCGCCCGGGCTTCACCCTTCAAGATCTTGGGGCCTTGCAAGGCTCCGGGCTTCCATTGCCCTAAACCCTAAACCCTGAACCCTAAACCCTAAACCCTAAACCCTAAACCCTAAACCCTAAACCCTAAACCCTAAACCCTAAACCTTTAGGTTTTGGGCAGTCTTGGGCGAGTGGGCAGAAGCCCCAAAGCCCTACACCCGAAAACTCATGTGGGGGTTTACGATATTAGGGGTACCTTATTGGGTTTAGGGCTTAGGGCTTAGGGCTTAGGGCTTAGGGCTTAGGGTTTAGGGTTTAGGGTTTAGGGTTTAGGGTTTAGGGTTTAGGGTTTAGGGTTTAGGGTTTAGGGTCCTTATTACGAGGGGATCCTTCTATGTGGGGGGCTTTATTAAGGGACCCCTATACTTTCGCAAACCCTAAACCCTAAACCCTAAACCCTAAAACCTAAACCCCCCATGTGGCATCCAAGGATGGCAGTACCCCCATTCTCGCTGCGGCAGCCATGGGCAATGCGAAGGCTGTGGGGGGAGGAGCATCCAGAGCTTCATATTCTAGGGGTGTATACGGGGCTGAGGGGGCGAGATCCCTCCCTTGAGGTTAAACCCTAAACCCTAAACCCTAAACCCTAAACCCCTTGGTAGTTGAGTTCCCTTTTGCCGAAGTGCTGTTTGCTGCGAGCAACCTCTGCTGCCTCTTAATCTACTCGGCCGAATCCTACTGCGGACCCTACACCTAGAGCTTTCACCCTAAACCCTAAACCCTAAACCCTAAACCCTAAACCCTAAACCCTAAACCCTAAACCCTAAACCCTAAACCCTAAACCCTAAACCCTAAACCCTAAACCCTAAACCCTAAACCCAGGCCTTGAACAGTGGTCGCAACCCTAAACTGTAAGTCCTCAACCCTTGAGCCTAAGCCTCACAAATCCCAGGAGGCGCAAGTGAGTTCATCCGAATGAAAACCCAAAGCCTGTTTCAAGGAAAGGGGGTCCTGTGTTTAGGGGCTTCAGGATGTTTTGGGGTATACAGGTTTCACTCAACCCTAAACCCTACACCTTAAACCCTAAACCGTAAACCCTAAACATGTAGGATTCAGGGTGATGAGAGTTGCAGAGCCTGTCATGCAGGTCGTCCAGAACTTGATGTGCGCTGGTGCCATTACGACCGCCCGCAACGCACGGGGCAGCCGAGCTGTCCGTGGGTTATTTGGGTGTAGGGTTTAGGGTTTAGGGTTTAGGGTTTAGGGATTAGGGATTAGGGATTAGGGTTTTGGGTTTTGGGTTTTGGGTTTTGGGTCCCCAAGTCCCAACTCCAAGCCCTTTCAAGCTTCCTAAGCCCCAACCCATTGACATACCTCTCACGGCAGCGCGAATCGCGCATTCCACTTGTTTGGGCGTTGCCAGCCCGGTGTTTTGTTTTCAGAGCTTGGGGTATCAGGCTTTAGCAACTCTAGTGAATTCCGGGTCTAGGGCTTGGGATTTGCGAGTAATTAAGGCTTGAGGGTGTTGGGGGTCGGAAGAAAGCTTGATGCATCAAGTTTGGTTTGTTTCGGGCTTAGGGCATAGGGTTTAGGGTTGAGGGCTTACGGTACAGGGTTTAGGGCTCAATGCAGTCCTGAGATGTACCTGACTCGGCTTTGTGCACGACGTCGGACACCGAAATCCCTAAAGTTTGTCAAGGGATCGAGCCCCCAAACCCGGGTTGCTCGGCCCTAAACCCTAAACCCTAAACCCTAAACCCTAAACCCTAAACCCTAAACCCTAAACCCTAAACCCTAAACCTCGCAGGGGTGTCGAGGTTATCCCAAGCCCAAGGCCACAGTTCGGAAGGAGGGATCCAAGATGGAATCTTGTTTTGTAGAGTTGAGGGTGTAAGGGTTAGGGTTTAGGGTTCAGGGTGTAGGGTCTAGGGTTTGGGTTTAGGGTTGAGGGCTTAGGGGTTAAGGGTTCAGTTCGGGGCTTTGCAACGCTGCAAAGGTATGGACATCCACCAGATTTGTAGGTTGAGCCGCCTGCCTGAGTCGATTTTCACCGAGTACGGCGCGCCACTCTTGGAGTAGGGCATTAGGGGTTGTTTACTGGGTTTCGGAGTCCTATACTTTTGTTGGTTATGGGCTCCGACTATCGCCACTTATAGCTGAAAAGTATACAGGATCTACTGCAATGTATAGGGTTGAGGGCCAGAGGGCGTACGAATCAGGGCCAGATAGGGCTTACTGTGGGGTTGTAGGCGTTTGGCCTTTCCCCAGGGTCCATGTACCTACATCGTATATACTTGCGGGCCTAAAGCTGCGATATGGGAACCCCTTCAAGTCCCAAGTATTTACCCTAAACCCTAAACCCTAAACCCTAAACCCTAAACCAATGGATCCTGAGGGCCATATAGTGCCCATAGGTGCATGGACCCTGAGGGTGTGAGGCGTTTCGGGCACGCATGCCGATGCGCCCAAGCCGGCCTCCGCGAACGCGGACGCCGCAAACGAGTACATGGGGCGCTCCGATGCCCGGAGTGCCCAGCTTTGGGTTTAGGGTTTAGGGTTTAGGGTTTAGGGTTTAGGGTTGAGGGGTTTGAGGGGTTGAGGGGGTTTAGGGGGTTCAGGGGGTTTAGGGGGTGTAGGGGTGCAGGGGCCCTTTTTCACGCTGCAGGGGCTTTCCTGTGTTGCGGACGGCAGCTTCAGCGCTCGAAAATTCACAAACCCTCAAACCGAAACCGACAGGGTTTAGACTTAGGGTCTAAAGTTTAGGGTTTAGGGTTTAGGATTAAACCGCTGCTGCATCTACAGAAAGGCCTCTGCTTTGTGCTGCCTGGCCTCTGCAAACCAAAGGCATGGAGAAAAGCCCATCGAACGCACCCAAGGAATGTTTGGGGTTCAGGGTTTAGGGTTTAGGGGGGGTTTTGGTTTAGGTTTAGGGTTTAGGGTTTTGGGTTTTGGGTTTTGGGTTTTGAGTTTGGGGCTTAGGGCTTAGGGTTTAGGGTTTTGGGTTAGGGTGCAGTAAAACCCACACCCCCAAAACCCTTAATGTTCCTCGACCCGAGCCATATCGCTGCCGGGAACAGCACATGTCAGAGAATTTTGGGTTTAAATCCCAACTCCCAAACTGCGGAGGTTCTGAACGTGCTTTGGGTTCGTGTACACTCAACAGCCGGAAATGCATTACCCTTAATAAGCCCTCAGCCCCTTATAATAAGTAAGGAGACATCCAGTTTAGGTAAAGGTAGGGACCCTGGGTCGTTGGGGTCAGTTTCAGCATGTAGGGCTGACCTGTATCTCAGCGGGTCTCGGGTGAGGTATAGGACCCAGAGCAACTAGGCCTCTTATTTCCTTCGTTTAGGTTTAGGTTCCCTGAAAAATCCCCTTCAAAACCAAGAAGGGCACCTTGTTCCTAGGTTACTCTTGGGGTCTAGTTTCGGGTTGAAAAGTCGGGCCCTGCCGTGTGAACTCCTTGACTTGTGAGCTAGGTTGCTGGCTTAAACCCTAAACTTAGGATGTTCCCCCAACAGTCCTTAATAGGGATTCTATTACCCCCGACTATAATCCCTACTAAGGATGGTTAGTATAAGGCGGAACATCCCAACCTTAAACCCTAAACCTGTGGAGGGAACCTTGCAACCTAGACACTCAACCCGAAGGTGGATAGTGCTCAGCCGTAAGATCGTGCGGCCACCCCAAAAAAGCCGCTATAAGCCTCGCAACCCCAAGGCTTTCAACAGCAATCGAGATAGGATGGCTACGAATCAGGCAACCTCTCCAGATCTCGCTTAGGGTTTAGGGTTTAGGGTTTAGGGTAGGCAAATACTCTGATAACACTCCGGTGTAGCACAGTAGCTGATATTTGGTTGATTCCGACAGTGGGGGTACCCTTTTGGGGGCATTCTGGGGCGTATTAGGGTGGCCCCTTGCCTCTTTTTGCATCTGAGCCATGTTGGCACATGCCTTGGTTTGGGCTTCTTCGGTCCTTAGCTGCCGGGCGGACTGCGCTGCGAAGGGGGAGGAGTGCCTGGCCACAGCTCTAGATTCTGCGGCCAGCTGGGTTCAAAGGAAGGTCGGTAAGATGGACGCCCCCAAGGCAAAGCCTGCCCAGGACATCGATCAGAACGGATACTTCTACACGAAAAGGGGCGGCGACGCAACGGGCAGCAACGCCATTACCTGGTCCATTCCACAGGACTTCTTGAAGCCCGCATGGACCTGGAGCAACGAGCTTGACGAGCAAATCCGCCACTCCGCGCTGATTGACGACAAGAAGAACATCTACATAGCCGGAACAACGCGACTAAGAAAGTTCAGCCCGGATGGCAAGATGCTGTGGCTCTTTGAACAGGACGAGGCGGGCAACACGTCTCCTACCATGGGCAAGGGTGTGATCTACTTTCGCGTGGGATATGGCAAAGGTCACAACCGCGTCTACGCTCTGAGCATGGAAACGGGCGAGGTGTTATTCAAGAAGACTGTGGCAGGTTTCGGCTATGGCCCCGACTCACAGTCTCTTTTGCTCGCCGGTGGCCGCCTCTTCCTGCCTGCCTTGTCGGGTGCTCCGCGTAGTGATACTGGCGGCTGCGACTCCCTGATTGCCTTGAACGCGTCCACCGGAGATGAACTTTGGTCATACACCACGGATGAAGTCATGTGGAATTTCTCCCCAAGCACTCCGGATGATGGAAAGTCCATCACATTCTCGAGCACCTGCGGTGCCTTTACTCGGATTTCGGCCATTGACGGAAAGCTGATGGTCAAGTCCACTGCAGACGTTTCCGCTGGCCCTTGTAGTACAGGCGGTGGCTCCACAGGCCCTAACGGTCTCTTCTTTGCCGCTTACAGTACCTTATTAGTAGCTGAATGAGTACACTACTTTTACACTTTTTGGGGATACTATAATCCCCTTATAGAACTGAAAGTGTACACTTCTTTGGGGCTTATGAACTCAGCAACTAAGGTACTTTGCCTTGGGGCGCCTTCTCATTTGACACGCAGAATTACATCAGCGCTTACAACATCACCACGGGCGAGATTGCCTGGACGCACCGGGTAGAGCCTCCGTACCGGAGCTGCCAATACCCAGCAGTGGGCTACCTTTACGAAGGACCACTTGGGGATGTTTGAAAACATTTTCAAATGTTTGGGCAATTTAATTCTTAAGAAACAGCTAGTTTATTTTCATTTTTTGGGGTACTTTATCTCCTGAGAAACAGCTGAAGTTCCAATTTTTGCTAGGGTTCCAAGTTCAGTGTAGAGGAACCCTAAATCCTAAATCCTAAACCCTAAGCCCTAGACCCTCAACCCTAAACCCTAAGCCCTAAACCCTAAACCCTATAGAGGAGGGCCACTTGCAGTGGTCGCTGCCGTCGGCCAGATCGCTGGCAAGCCGAAGCTGATGGCTGACGATGAGCTGCTTGGGTCTAGGGTTTAGGGTTTAGGGTTTAGGGTTTAGGGTTTAGGGTTTAGGGTTTAGGGTTTAGGGTTTAGGGTCTAGGGTCTAGGGTTTAGGGTTTAGGGTTTAGGTTTTAGGTACCAAGGTTGCAAAGATATTTGTCAGATGCGGACTACCGCCGTCACCTCAACACCCCCGTGTACTCGAACGCCGTCATCGCCCCTCAGGGATTCTTCGGAACACGGTTTAATTTTTGGAGCACTGTATCATTCCTAAGGAGCAGCTAAAATTATCTAATTTTGCTAGGGTTCCGAGTTCAGTATAGAGTAACCCTAAACCCTAAACCCTAAACCCTAAACCCTAAACCCTGAACCCTACACCCTAAACCCTAAACCCTAAACCCTAAGCCCTAAGCCCTAAGCCCTAAGCCCTAAGCCCCATAAGCCCTAAACCCTAAACCCTAAACCCTAAATAAAGGCCCTGGATGCCGCTACGGGGTCCAAGATCTGGCAGTGGAACGAGGCGGACTGGGACCACTTCGCTGCTGCAGGAGATGAGGAAGGCTAGGGCCCGGAGTTCGGGTTTAGGGTTTAGGGTTTAGGGTTTAGGGTTTAGGGTTTAGGGTTTAGGGTTTAGGGTTTAGGGTTTAGGGTTTAGGGTTTAGGGTTTAGGGTTTAGGGTTTAGGGTTTAGGGTTTAGGGTTTAGGGTTTAGGGTATCTAGGACCCAGAGTAGGGCCTTATTCCCTTTTTCAGGGGTTTAGGTTCCCCTAAAAGCGCCTTTGATCCCAAAAGGGCACCCTTTTTATTCCTAGGTTACTCTTGGGTTTAGACGGCACCCCCTTTATTCCCAGGTTATTCTTGGGTTTAGAGAGGCTTTGCGCGACGACGGCTGCTGGGCAGCATTGAGAATGACATCTGCCTTCCGGACAACCAGGGCATCCCCGTCGTCAACACGAAGGACGGGACCGTCATTGTCTCCAGCTCCCACAACGGGAACATGACCGTCATCCGGGATGCAAACAAGAATGGCATCATCGAAGACAATGAGACAACGGCATTTGCAACTGGCGTCGCTTTCCTGAACGGACCTGCGACGGCCCCTGGTATGCTGGTGGCTTCGCCCTGCTGGGGGCCAATGTACGTTTTCCGCCAATGAGCCCGGAAAATTTGTCAGGAAGTTGACGGGTAGATGGAGCCGCTAGCTAAGAGAGGCATCTTGCCCACATTTGGCTGTACTTGCGTGAGCTGCTCCGAATCGCTGACAAGCCTGCACTGACATCTTTTATGGCAGCCAATTGACTTTGTACTTTTTGTTTTCGCGTGCTGTGTTGTATTTTAGTCTTGGGTTTCCCAGTTAAAATGCAGATGAAATAGACGTTTTCCTATTAAGCTACACAGGGAATACAAAGGAAATAGAGGTTTATTGTTACAGTTCCGGGGACATGTAGCTTTCCGATGAAAATACTGAGGAAACAGATAAAGATCGTCCTATTCATGTCTTATCGAGGGAATGGAGGTCTCCTAGTCAACAAAAGAGAACGACCCAAGAAAAGAAAGAAAGGACGATTGAGGGTTTAGGGTTCTCAGGATTTTCAGGGTTAGGGTTTTCAGTTTTCAGGGTTTAGTGGCTTTTGGGCTCGGGCTTTTGCGGGGTTGGGGGTTATCGGGGTTCACGGGTTCAGGGATGTTTTTAAAGTTCGGGGGTTTAAGGTTCTAGGCTTTTAAGACCCTGTAAGCCAACGCATGCCCTATGAGCTTGGTGACCGACTGTCGAGGTAGCTTGCCCATTTAAGGCATAGAGGTGCTATTACATAGGGCCTTCTGAAAGTATGTGATATGATTATATATATATATATATATATAATATATAGATATAGATATAGATATAGATATAGATTTATAGATATATCTTCCTAGAATTACATAAACACATAGTTGCATAGTTAAGCTATGTCATTGTTTAATCGTTTTTTTGGGGGGTGGTGGGGGGCGTCGTTTCAGTCTTATAGGTCTTAAAGGGGATGCCATTGGTCACCTTCTCTAGCCTTTGTGATCTGAAGTGGCTTGATGCTGGCTGTTTTGCAACGAGGCCCAAGCGATCACAGCTTCGTGCAGAGCATCCCCTCAACAAGGCATCACCATCTGCTAAATGTCAACCAAGCGTCTCGATTGTTGGGGTTGAGTTGACTGCAAGCCCGCATCCGAGTATCCAGAAGCCTATCGCGCACGTCACGCCGAGCTAGCCATAGCCCTTCGCAGTCTTTTTGTAAGATGATCACAAATTCGCCAGGGCCCTTGTACGTAGGGTTTAGGCTTCAAATTTTAGGGTAAAGCTTTCAGGGTAAAGCCCCACACTCCAGCTACATTTTCATCTTGCAAGAAGTGTGCTAAAGTTTCATGGCGACCGCCCGAGCCTGATTTTATTTTTCCTAGCCATGCATCGCGCCGGACATGCCGCGCCGGTCACTTAGTCGGTCCCTTTCTGGGGTACCCCCAGGTGCTGGCTCGATTTCATGGTACCCAAAGAAACCATCCTTAGACCCTGAACCCTAAACCCTAAATCCTGAACCCGAAACCTAAGCCCTGAACCCTGAACCTTAAAGAGGTTTTTTTTTCCGCATCATGCGAGCTCCGATGGGCCTGCTGTGAGGTTTGGGTTTGGGGTTTGGGGTTTGGGGTTTGGGGTTTAGGGTTTAGGGTTTAGGGTTTAGGGTTTAGGGTTTAGGGTCTGAACCCTAAACCCTACACCCGGTTTGCGACTGCCACGGAAGCCAGGCTGCCGCCTTTGACGCTGTAAACGTTGAACTGTTACACGGACCTTACAGCTAGGATGCACAGATCTGGGCACTTCGAAGTGCCCAGATGTCTTAGTGTTGAGGGGTTTAGGGTTTAGGGTTCAGGGTTTAGGGTTTAGGGTCCTTCTCAATTTCATGAAAGCAAGAAAGGGCCCCCTTTATGATTCCGATCATAGGGCACTCTATAGAGCACAGCCCTCAACCCTAAAGACCCAACCTTCAGCTTGGGGTCTAGGGTTTAGGGTTTAGGGTTTAGGGTTTAGGCCTTAGTCTTTAGGGTTTAGGGGTTTAGGGTTTAGGGCGTAGGGTATTAAGCATGTCGCGCGGCTGTGGCGCTCCCTCGGCATAGTACACACCCTACATATGAGCCCTTTTGTTGCCCCTTCACCCTAAACCCTTCTAACTTATAATCCCCAAACCGTTAGGATGCAACCCTAAACCCTAAACCCTAAACCCTAAACCCTAAACCTCTAACTTGTCTTCGGTGGAGAGGGACACTCCAGGAAGGCCCCAGCCTGACCCTCACCTTCACCAAATGCACCCCAAGCCCTCCTAAAGCGGCTTAGGTTGGGATGTTTCCCCTTATACTCACAGGGTGTAGGGTTTAGGGTTTAGGGTTTAGGGTTTAGGGTTTAGGGTTTAGGGTTGGGGTTTGGGGTTTGGGGATTGGGGTTTGGGGTTTAAGGACTCTTAGTATAAAGGCGGAACATACCAAGGTTCAGGGCTCGTGTTTGGGTGGATCAGGGCTGATGAGTTTTAATGAATGTTCCAGTGTGTAGGAGCCATATTACTTAGCACAAGATGTTTTGCAAAGCCATGTGTAGTCACACGCACGCACGCACGTCCATGCCCATGCCCATGCCCATGCCCATGCCCACGCCCACGCCCACGCCCACGCCCACGCCCACGCCCACGCCCTCAGACTGAGAGAGGGAGACTCTCACCCTACCACCCGCAGCCTCCTGCATCTGCTCGTCGAAACACAGTTTTTTTTGGGGTTCTGTTGGTGCCCGAAATAAACAGCGCTCTCCGCATTGAGCGCGTACAGGGCATTTGCGGATGACGGATAACCACGAATGCTGGAGCAAAATTGCAGGCGGGCAAACCTACCAATTGCCACAGGTAGGTTTCCCCTTGTTTAACCGCTTTTTGTTTCTCCTAGGACCGGGATTTCCTTTTTTTAGGGTTGGGGTTCCCCATGATAACCCCCTGAAAACCAAAAAGGGTACCCTTTTATTCCTAGGTTACTCCCGGGTCTAGTCTCGGCTTCTTGCAAAAGCTTAGGGCTCGAAATCTCAAGCCACAAACCTTCAGCTCCCAGCCCTGCTGCAAGTGCCTCTTTTGCTTTTAAGGTTCGCTGTCCGCGCGGTTGCAAGACGCTGCGCAGGACTCACCATGTGGAAAAGCTGCGGGCTTGGGCTGGAGTTAGGTTTTCCTAACCTTTGATCCTACTCAGCTCGGGCTGAAGGCCTGAAGCCTTTAAGCCCAAAACTTACCAATTCCCTACTAACCAACAGCAAGACAAGACAGCCGAAGCTAGTACCGTGCAGACTCCTTCAGCCTTGGGTTAGACAGTCTGAGCTAGAATCCCTAAATAGCCCTAATTATGGCGGGAACCTAGGCGGGGGGGGGGGGGGGGGAGGTAGTATAGAGTAGGGGAACCCATGATCCACAATCCTAGACTTAGAATCGGTACCTCTCGGTGTCACACAAAACGGGAGTTCAATGCGAGGAGTGCATCGAAGAGCCACGCTAAGCGCTGTCAGCCCTGCCTTGTCTTGAGGGATGAAGGTTTAGGGTTTAGGGTTAGGGTTTTGGGTTTTGGGTTTTGGGTTTTGGGTTTTGGGTTCCCGAGTTTCAGGTTGGCTTGCAGGATTTCGGGCTTCGAAGGCTCAAAGCTTTCAAGGTTGGAGTGTTTAGCTAGGATGCCCAGTAGTACCCTTATTCCCTTTTTTGGGGGGTGTAGGTTCCCTTGTAAACCCCTTTAAGCAAAAAAGGGCACCCTTTTTTGCCTGGGTTACTGGGCCTAGTTAGGCTGTCAGGTGTAGGCCGGTGCAGTGTTTACGGTTTAGTGTTTAGTGGTTCAGGTGCAGGGTTTCGTTTTTATTGTTTTCCGGCTTATCAACTGGGCCAGCTCATGCCAGCGCAGCGTGCGTGCAAGAAGGACTCGCCTGTTTGGACTGCGACCCACTCCGGCCACCGTTTCAAGCTAATGCCCGGCTTTGAGAAGGACGCAGTGGCCACGGCACCAACAAGGAGATCCCCGGCCTGTCGGCCCACACGCACTAGACGATTTTTCATACCTGTTAACCCCCACCTCCCTAAACCCTGCACCCTAGACTCCTAAACCCTAAACCCCAAATCCCTGAACTCCCAAATTCCTTAGCCCGAGAAGCCCCAACCTTGCCCTTTCCCAGACCCCTGAAAGGATCCAAAAAGTAGATCCCTTTTAGGGTTCTTAAGAAAAAGAATGACCCGATAGTAGTATCGGGTGCTTTGGGATGTTCCCTTACTGGGAATTGTAGTCCCCCCCGCCCCTATTATAGGACTGTTAGTATAAGGGGCAACATCCCAAAGGGTACTATTTTGGGAGGTTCTACACCCTAAACCCTAAACCCTAAACCCTAAACCCTAAACCCTAAACCCTAAACCCTAAACCCTAAACCCTAAACCCTAAACCGAGGGGTCTGGGGTTTAAAGCCCTCTGCAAACAGACGAGAAAACGTGCCTTGGCCAGGTGCCCCTCCTCAGCCGTGGCGATGTGGGGGCTCCTTTCAGGGCCTCTAGCAGCCTGGAGCTCAGGGGTTTAGGGTTTAGGGTTTTAGGGTTTTAGGGTTTAGGGTTTAGGGTTTAGGGTTTAGGGTTTAGGGTTTAGGGTTTAGGGTTTAGGGTTAGGGTTTAGGGCGTAGGGTTTAGGAGTATTTTGGGGTTCGGGGTTACAGGGCCTAGGGCACGCTTGGGGTTAGCCCTATTTGGGGGGCGGAGTCTCCTAAGCCTTGTTAGCCTAAACCCTAAACCCTAAACCCCCAACCCTGAACCCTAAACCCTAAACCCTAAACCCTAAACCCTAGACCCTAGACCCTAGACCCTAAACTCCCTAAACCCTAGACCCTAAATCCTAAACCCTAAACCCCCCAAAAAGGCTGTTGAACCATGGGCCCTTAGTATGGTCCCTTACCCTTGTGTACAGGGATCCAAAGTATGGGCCCTTAATATGTATAGTGCACATAAGGGTTATAGAATAGGGTCCCCAAATGAAGGGCCCTATACTTCGGACTCTAGAATTTCGGATTAGGATTTGAAGCCTCTGCCGCAGGCCACGCGCCCATCGGCCAAAGCACATCCTCCCAGTCAGAGAAAG